ACAGTGCTTATCACCCTGTATTGTAACTGCCTTTTCATTTGTCTATATCCCTCAGGAGACTATAAGCTTTTCAAGTGCAGTATCCTGTGTGTCTGTCTTGGTACTACAGCCCCAAAACTCATCACAATGCTTGGTGCATAGAATGCTCTCAATAGATATGCATTAAATGAATGAATGAATGAATGAATGAATAGATGAGCTAGAAACCAAGGAAACAAAGGGAGAAGGAAATCTAGAGTTTAGGGTGAAAGAGCTAACTTAGAACCCTAGCACTATTTATTTTTTAGAAAGTATTGAGGGAGCAAAAAAACTATTAACAGTAGTTACCCATTGGCAGTGAGAAGAGTGAGAGAATAGATGAGCCATCTTTTTTCTTTCTTTTTTTTTAAATTAACTTTACGGGGTCTCACAATTAAGTTCACGAACTGGTTGCAACGATATTGCTAACCTTTTTTGATATCAGAGGGATTATTCATTATGAATTTGTACCATCTGGACAAACACTTATCCAAGTTTACTCTTTGGAAGTGCTGAAAAGTTGCGTGAAAAAGTTAGACGACCTGAACTTTTTGCCAACAACTCATGGCTCTTGCATCACGACAATGCACCAGCTCACATGGCACTGTCTGTGAGGGAGTTTTTAGCCGGTAAACAAATAACTGTATTGAAACACCCTCCCTACTCACCTGATCTGGTCCCCAATGACTTCTCTCTTTACCTGAAGATAAAGGAAATATTGGTCTTTTGAGCTTTCTTTGCTCGGCCCGCTCCAAAGTCTTTGGAGTGTACTTCCTTTTCTAATAATGGCCCTTGAGCCATTCTCTACTGCTCGGGCCCACTTCTGCTTCTTTGAAATGTATTTTTACCTCTAATAAATTCCTTTTCTGCAACTTAAAAAAAAAAGATAAAGGAAATATTGAAAGGAGGATATTTTGATGAAATTCAAGACATCAAGGGTAATATGACGACAGCTCTGATGGCCATTCCAGAAAAAGAGGTCCAAAATTGCTTCGAAGGATGGACTAGGCTCTGGCATTGGTGCATAGCTTCCCAAGGGGAGCACTTCGAAGGTGACTGTAGTGATAGTCAGCAATGAGGTATGTAGCGTAGCACTTTTTCTAGGATGAGTTCGTGAACTTAATTGTCTGACTGGCAGAGAGTAAAATTTGCCCATTTTGAAGTCTACATTTGAATATACTTTGTCATATGTATCCACTACCCTAATCAAGATATGGGACACTTCCCCCAATAACACTTACCTTTAAACAAATTATATTTAGTACATCTGTTTTTATTATGTCTCCTCAACTGCCCTTAACATGTAGGCTCTTTGAGGGCAGCGTCTTTGTTTTATTCACTGAAGTTTCCAAGTTCACAGTGCCGGAATAATAGTAGCTATTTGACGCATATTTGTTGAATAAATTCCAAAGGATTAAATAATAAAGTGGAAAAGGTAAAGTTATCAAACCTCTAGAAAAATGTAAAGGTGAATATCAAATATTTATTCCAGTCAGTATGGGAAGAACTTGCTAAGCATAAAAAGTAAAAAATAAAAAAAAGGAAGCAAAACCTAAACTGGAAAAGATCATTAGATTAAACTATATAGACACATATACCTATTTCCCCAACCCTTCTCCCAAACACAAATGATATTTCTATCATATATGGAATGGTAGGGCTAATCTGAATTTAAAAAAAAGAAAAAGACTTTTTAAATCGTAAGAAAAAACTGAATAAATCAATAGAAAAATGGATAAGGCAGCAGTTTTTGAAGTGTGTTCTGGTGACTCCAGGGGTCCCCAAGATCCTTTCAGGTGTCCATGATTATTTCTATAATAATACTCAGATGTCATTTGCCTTTTCCACTATGTTGACATTTGCACTGACGATGCAAAAGCCATGGTGGCCCTTAGCATGAGTCAAGAAAGTGACACCAATGTGTACTAGTAATCATGTTCTCCACCATCTTGCCAGTTTTACTTAAGGAAGTCTTTGGTAAAGTGGTAAAAAAAATTATTAAATTTATTAAATCTTGACCCTTGAGTTCACATCTTTTTTTAAATAGATTTTTATTTTTAGAGCAGTTTTAGGTTCATAGCACAAGTGAGCAGAAAGTACGGAGAGTTCCAATATCCCCGCTGTCCCCACACAGGCATGGTGTCCCCAACTAGCAACATCCCCCACTAGAACAATGCATTTGCTACAGTTGATGAACTTATATCAAAACATCATAATCATCCAAAGTCCTTATTGTATATTAGGATTCATTCTTGGTGTTACACATTCTATGGATTTTGATGAATGTATATTGACATGTATCCACCATTATAATATTATACAGAATAGTTTCACTGCCTTAAAAATCCTCTGTTCTCCACCTATTCCTCCTGCCATACCCCCTAACCCTTGGCAACCACTAATCTTTTTACTGTTTCCATAATTTTGCCTTTCCCAGAATGTCATGTAGTTGAATTTATACAGCATGTAGCCTTTTAAGATTGGCTTCTTTTACTTAATAATATGCATTTAAGGTTTTCCATGTCTTTTCATGGCTTGATAGCTCATTTTGTTTTAGCGCTGAATAATATTCCATTGCCTGGAGGTACCATGGTTTATTATCCATTTACCTACCGAAGGACATCTTAGTTGCATCCAAGTTTGGGCAATTATAAATAAAGCTGCTATAAACATTTGTGTGCAGGTTTTTTGTGGACATGTTTTCAACTCATCTGGGTAAATACCAAGAAACACAGTTGCTGGATTGTATGGTAATAGTGTGTTTAATTTTGTAAGAAACTGACAAACTGTCTTCCAAAGTGACTGTACCACTTTGCATTCCCACCAGCAATGAATAAAAGTTCCTGTTGCTCTGCATCCTCCCCAGCATTTGGTGTTGTCAGTGTTTTGGATTTTTGGCCATTATAATAGTGTGTAGTGGTATCTCATTGTTGTTTTAATTTGCAGTTCCCTAATGACATATGATGTTGTGTATCTTCTCGTATGCTATTTGCCATCTGACTATTTTCTTTGGTGAGGTATCTGTTTAGATCTTTTGCCCATTTTTAAATTGGGTTGTTCATTTCTTTTTTTGTCTTCTTTTTTTTTTTTAAGATTTTTATTGGGGAATTGGGGGATGGGAATAGCACTGGGGAATTGGGGGAAGGGGAAGACAAGTTGCTGTCCTTTTGTTCTTCAGTCTAGTTGTGGAGGACATTGCTTCACTGACCCAAGTTGGCACCATCATTGCGCTCTTCCTGGGCGAGGCAGATCAGTTGCCGGCTTCTGGACGGCCGCTCACACTGGCTGTTGGCTACACATGGTAGCCCATGGCAACCCACTGCAGCAGGGGCTGCAGCCTACGCTGTCGCCAGCGACTCACGGCAGCCCAGCTCCAGGTTGAGCTGTTGTTCAGCATCTTAGCTGTAGAGGGCAGTGTCACTGGCCCTCATATGTGGGATCGAACCGGGGCCCTCTGGCATCCCAAGCCAGCTCTTAACCAACGAGCCTCTCTGCCGGCCCTGGGTTGTTCATTTCTTATTGTTGAGTTTCAAGAGTTCTTTATATATTTTGGATAACAGTCCTTTATCAGATATATCTTTTGCAAATATTTTCTCCCAGTCTGTAACCTGACTTCTATTTCCCTTGCGTTTTTTTCATTTTTAGTTTTATAAACTCTGTATTGTTTAAATTTTTTCAATGACTATAACTTTTAAAGACAGCTTTATTGAGATATGATTCGCAAGCCATACAATTCACCCATTTAAAGTGTACAATTCAATGGTTTTAAGTATCTTCACAGGGTTGTACAACCATCACAATCTAATGTTTAGGCAATTTTATCACCTTTAAAAGAAACCATGTACCCATTAGCAGTCATGTCTCATTCTCTACCACCACCACTTCCTAAGAAATCACTAATCTACTTTATGTCTCTGTAGATTTACCTATTCTGAACATTTCATGCAAATTAAATTGCATAATATGTGGACTTTTATAACTAGTTTCTTTCACCAACAATGTTTTCAAGGTTCATCCATGTTGTAGCATGAATCAGTGCTTTGTTCCTTTTATTGATGAATAATGTTGTATAGCTACATCATATTTTATTTATCCATTCATCAGTTGATGGGCATTTGGGTTGTTTTCACTTTTTGGCTGTTATGGTTAATGATGCTATGAACATTCATGTGCAAATTTTTTTAAAAAGATTTTATTGGGGAATTAGGGGAGGGTAACAGCGTTGGGGAATCAGGGAAGGGGAACAGACAAGTTGCTGTCTTTTTGTTCTTCAGTCTAGTTGTGGAGAATGTTGCTTCACTGGCCCATTTTGGTGTTGTCATTGCGCTCTTCCTGGCTGAGGCAGTCGCTCGCCAGCTATTGGACGGCCTTTCATGGCGGCTCACGGCAGTTCATGAAAGTGCACGCCAGCTGCCAGCCAGCCCCGCTGGAGCCTATGCTGTCTCCAGCAACAGGGCGAGCTATTGTTCACCATCTTAGCTGTAGAGGGCTTAGCGTCACTGGCCCTCATGTGGGATCCGAACCAGGGCCCTGCTGCTCAGAGCTGGCGTCCCAAGCCAACTCTTAACCAACACGCCACTCGGCCAGCCCTCATGTACAAATTTCTGCGTGGACATGTTTTCATTTTTCTTGGAAATAGACCTAGGAGTGGAATTGCTAGGTCAGATGATAACCCTATATTTAACATTTTAAGGAACTGCCAACTGTTTTCCAAAGCAGCTGCACCGTTTTTCACCCCTACCAACCAACAATGTACATAACTTTTGAAATTAAACAGGTACTGTTTTTAAAGAACCCTAGGGCTGTTTCAAGTAGAACATAGGTATTCAGTAACACTTATGGAGGAATGAATGGGTGGTTTAAGATGAGGAGGGAGACTGAACATGGGAAATAAAGTGGGAGATGGGTGAACTCCTGACAGTAACTTTCACTCCAGCACCACCTGGCCAGGCCCCTCTGAACCCCATGTGATTCCCAAACAGGGTCAACCAACTCCTGAGCCTGAGATTGACCTGGAGACTCTCATGGAACTATCCACAGAGGAGCAGAAGACTCAATTGGAGGTAGAATGGGGGGCTGGGCCCTGGGCCCAGGGGTTGGGGGATGGAAACTGGGCTTAGACTAAGGGGAAACCAGGAACCCAAGCTCTGCCTCCTTGGTTAGAATGGGGAGAGCCAAATCAGAGGCGAGAATTTCTGAAAGACTGATTGGGGGCTGTGGGAAAATGCTGTGGCTTGGGGACCCACTGTCTGCTTTCTTCTACCCAGGCTATTCTCCGAGACTGCCCCCACCCCACAGAGGTAAGGATGCTCTGCTGGTCTGTGGGTAAGAGGAGGCCCAGTGGGGAGGCAGCTAATGAAAGCAAAGCTTGGCCCTGGGTCTTTCTCTTCTTCCCTGGCTCTGGGGAGATGGGATCAGAAGGAGATTAGGGAGGGCAGTGTGGTGGGTCCGCATGACCCCGTGACTTAATCTCAACTGTTTCTCTCTCAGCCTTTTATCTCTGAGCTACTCAGTCAACTCAAGAAACTCAGGAGACTCAGTCGGCCTCAGAAATAAACCTTCAGCATCCTCAGCACTGCCAGGCCTACCCTGAACCTCTGGATCCTGAGCTGAGAGGGAAACAGCTCCTTGGGACAGAGACAAGGAACATGGAAGATGAGGAGGGACTTTTGGACACCCCTAGTGTTCTGTGCAGTCACAGCTAGCTCCTGTCAGCTGGGCTTTCTAAGAGCCATGGCTGTCACCCAGTGCTTCCTTGGCAGCCACGCAGATAAAACCTTTAGGAGCCCCAGCTGGAGTGTGGAGCATATCTGTGCTGAGGGACCGGGGAGGGAGAGGGTGAAGTGATATATCAGAAGGCCAGCATCCTGAATCATGACACTATCCACACACCCCATCCATCCATCCATCCATCCATCCATCCATCCATCCACCCATCCACCCATCCCTCTCTCCCTCTCCCCCTCCCTCCATCCATCCAAACCAGTCTTAAGAATGAGTCACAGTTCTGCTTCAGAGAAATCACAATCTAGCAAGGCCTGGAGGCTAAGACACAAAGCATCCTGGCATCACCAAGAACAGGAGCCCAGATGGCAAAGACTAGTTCTGAACTCCAGAGAGGTAACAGGAAAAAGTTAGCTGGGTGTGGGGTATCAAGGAAGGCTAAACCCTGTCCCCCTCTAAATGATACAGGAGGCCTCAGGCTGAGGACTCTTTCTTGAGCTGGCTCCAGCCAGAGGAAGAGAAAAAGCAGGGGCTAAGCAGAGGGATGTAAAGGGTTTATGACGAGAAGCCAGTGACTGGGTCAGGAGGGAGTTGCTGGAAACAGACAGAGTCAGAATGGCAGGCAGGTTGGGACAAGAACCCTGGGAAGTGGTGTCCTTTGGGAGTAAGGCAGGAAGCAAGATATGCATCCACTATTTGTGCAAGCAGTGTTTGAGTACCTGAGAGGCTGCAAATCCAAATGGTGGGGCCTAGGGGCTAAGCTGGGCTGCCCAGAGCAGGATGCACAGTGCAGTTCAGTGGGATGAATATTCGTGCTTACCACCTATGAGGCCACCAGGATGGGTGGGACTGTTCCTTCCTGGAGAAGCTTGCAGGAGGGCTCAATCCTTTCCCTCACTCCACAGGACTGGACTTATAACCTACTCTGTTCTCACCACCTCTCCAAGGGTCCAGGCTCAGGGCCTACAGGGTTCTAGAGATAAAAGATGCTGGGCCCACGGAATCAACATACTTTATTAGATATACTAAGTACTAGGAGAGGGCCCTGGGCCCTTGAGCAGGTTCTAAGTCTCGTCCTTAGATTCAGTCTGATCTTTCCCCATCATGCCTTTTAATCCCAGTCCAGGCTTCTCTGGTGGAGGGCTCTCAACTTCTGCCTTCCGTCTGGCTCATCCAGTCATCATCTCCAATGGAGAACCTTTCCTCCTTCCAGGGACACCGACGCTCAGGAGAGGGTGCACCCATGAGCAGTCTAGCCTGACATGCTCTTCCATCAGATGCCGAGGTTGGGCCCAGAAGTGGGCATCCCAGGCTGTGCGACTGCCTGTAAGACTGTCTTCCCAGGAGGACCAGGGTTTCCTCAGTACTCTCGGCCTGCATGTCGGGGGTGGTATGCAGATGTCTGGTGCTCTTTAAGGTCAAAGGCATCATGGCCTTCCCTGTGGAGCAAAGAGATACAGGTCAGGGATCACAAGTAGCCCCTGAACTCTCTGCCTGCACAGAACATGCCATCTGCACCCACCGGAAGCAGCGGACACAGTAGAGGTCTCCATCGCAGCCAGCACAGCGCAGGGTAGCGTCCTCATTGCAGATGCAGCACCAGGGGAGTTCTTCGTCAGCCTCAGGCTTGGGGGCTAAGGCCTGGGCCTTTGGAGATCAGAGAGGAACGGGGGAAGTAAGGTACCCAATGGAGCATGAGTAGGAGGGCAGGAGCAGTTGGCCAGGCAGGGAGGGAGGCTGTGGTGGTGGCCTGGGGGTGTGTCTGGGGCTTTTCTCACCTCAGGCTCTGCCTTGCAGGATTGGGCCTGGGGTCCGGGAGTTGTCTCCACAGGGATGTTAAAGCCACTTGCCTCATCCAGGGTGGCTTCTTCAGTGAGCTGTGGACAGGGTGAAAACATATAGCTCCCTGCTCAGGGCCCAAGTCCTCCCCTCCTCGGCTGAAGGCTCTATGGCCTGAGCTTCTCAACCCATCTTCCTTTATATATTGCCTGTGGCTACTGACACCCCATCTCAAGGGGCCAGGGGGCAGGTCTGGATCACAGGGACAGTGGGGCCACCGCTAGAACAGCAGCTGCAGAGTAACGGGCCACCCAGTCCCAGAGTGGAGGCAGGGTGAACGGGCCAGGTGTGTGATGGGGCAGTAAGGTAGGGACAGGACAAGGGGTGGTCAGGAGGGTAAGGCGGGCCCACCTGCTGCACGACTCTCTGGATGGCTGTCTCCTCATCGTCATCACTGTCTGGGAGGTGACAGTCTTGGAGGGTCACTTGAAGAAGGAGCAGTAGGAACAGGGGAAAAGGAGTGAGGTTGAGCGAGTGCACCTGAGTGGCTGTACTCTTGCCTCCGGGAGCTGGTTTGGTTTCCAGTGGCACTTGCTCCAGAGCTGAGCAGCCTCTGTTGCCACTCAGATCAGACCCTGCCCCTCCCTACAGGGCTGGGGAGCAGGAGCCGAAGGCTCTGCACCTGAAGGGACTGAGGGTCCCCTGCCTCCTGATGGCTGCTACTTATTCCTCATCCACTGCTTTGCCCCAATACCTTCCTCATACGTCTGAGCAGAACTCCACAGACCCCTGGGCACAGGGACCCCTGGCACCTGACTCAGCCTGGCAGGGAGTGCAGCCATTTTGCAGAGCTTGGCCTGTAGGTGGGAGGGGGGCTGCCCAATGGACATGAGTGAGTAGCTGCTCCCTAGCCTCTACCTCTGTTGGGGTCCTGTCCCGGCAAAATGGCCAGGCGCTTGGCGAGGGCCAGGATTTTCTCCTGTCTCGTGTTCTCCTCCTGCAGCTTGACTGCTGCCTCAGCCAGCAGCCTGCTCTTCCCCTCCAGGGACCCGGTGGCTTGCCCCTTAGAGTTAGCACTCTGGCCCCCTGGACCACCCTGGTTGAGGTCATTCTGGATAGAGGCAGCTGGAAGGAGAGATGCAGCCAGGGAGGCAGAGACATTCCAAGATCTCGCATCAGAAGCCACTGAGCCCATTTCTCAACTTAAAAAAAAACCACCATAGAGCATCAGCTTTTTGTTCAACACTAGCTCCTGTGGTTTATATTACAAATGAGTATTTCCTCCATTTTTCTAAATGTAAAAAACTAATCTCCAGACACTGCCAAATGGGCCCCGGAGGTGAAATCATCCCTGGTTGAGAACCACTGCTCTTAAGCCTTTGAATAGCAAAGTCCAATAGAATTTTCTATGATGACAGAAACATTACATATTATAATTTATGTTTGTGCTGTCCAAGATGTAGCCATGAGCCACGTGTGGCTATTGAGCACTTGAAATGAGGCTGGCACCACTGAGAAACTGAATTTTAAATTTTATTTAATTTTAATTAAAATTAAATAGTCTCTTCCTCCTCCTTATCATCATTGCAAAAAACATTCACTGAGCACTTATTATGAGCTAGGCAGGGTCCTAAGACTTTATTGGATTACCTCATTTACTCCTCACAACTTCCCCACAAGATAGGTTTTACCACACATACCTCCATTTTACAGATAAGGAAAGTGAGACTTAGGTCGAGTAACTTGCTCAGAGTCACACAGCTAGTTAGTGGTAGAACAGAGCATCATGGATTGATTCTAAAGCCTACAAGCTTATCCACTAGGTTTACACTGGCTCCTGTTGAAGTAAACACTCAATAAATGGTAGCTCTTATAATACTGATCTCTGATTTATATTTACCTCCCAAAGGGTAGGCAGCAGAACCTTTCCTACCTGGGGAAGGAGGAGGGCAGGTTCCTGGGGGTCCCAGTGGAGAAGTTACCTGGGCCTCTTTGTTCCCAGCTGTCATCAATAGCCACCTCTGCTGTCAGCTGTGTCAGCAGATCCTGCGCCTGCTGGGCCTCGGTCCTGGTGTCTGGTGTCTGATACGCCTGCTTAGAGGAGGGAAACTCATTGTGGAGCAGGATAGGGGGAAACCCCACCATAAGGTCCACAGCAGTCTAGGTCAGGGGTGGGTGCTCAAGGAAAGGGGGACTAATCCAGGGCCCACACAGTCAAGTCGGTCTGACAGTCCCCAACAGGACCGAGGAGCCACTCTTTCTTGCCCCACCCAATCCTGCTACTTGTCCCTAGTTCCCAGGCCTGGGAGCAGGATCAGGAGGTGGGGGTCAGAGGCTTGCCAACTCCTACAGAGGACATAAGCATACATGTATCTGGGCTTCTGCTGGTCCTCACTCCTTCTCAAGACATAGCACTCACCGGCTGGGGGGTCCAAGAAGGCGGAACTCTGCCCTGCAGTGCAGCAAGCCGTGCCTCCATCTCCTGGGTGGAAGGGACGGAACCTTGGGGTTCATCCCTTAGCGCAGCTAGCCTGGCTTCTATCTCTGCCTGTGAGGGCACTGACTCTGCAATTGGCATGGGGAAACCTTGTAAGATCCAGAGGCATCTCAGTCCCAGGAGCCCTGGATGGTGTCCTCTAGGCTACCCTGCCTGCCCCCACTCACTGGGCTTGTTCTCCTGGCGGAGCCGTGCTAGGCGCTCAGCAATGACTTGGTCTTGGTGGGTCAGTCCCTTGCTCCGTGGTGTGCTGGGCTTCTGCTTGGCTTCCAAGGCTGCCATACGCCTAGTAAAATATGAGATAGAGACTCTTGAAGAAAGTGAAAGGGAGGGGTGAAGGCACCCACTCACTGTTTCCCATTCAAATCACTTCTAGGCATCTAGGGTGGCCTCCAATAAACACTCTTCTGTGGCTCTTGCTCATGTTACCCTGCAACTCAACCCAGCTGCCCAGCCAGAGGGTCCAACTGGGAGGGCAAGGTCTACCAAGAACCTTATCTGGGGAGAGGGCTGATGAGCTGCTCTCTGAGCCCAAGAGGGCAGTCAGGAGCCTGAGAGGTGGATGTTTTCCTGACTCTGTGCTCAACTGATCTAGAGGCTGGGAAAAGAGTCCTATCCTGGGGCTCCATTTGTCTCAGTCCCTTCAGTACTTACTTCTTATAGTTCTGAGGTGGTGACCACTTGGAGGCATTAGCAGGAGTAGATCCTCTATAGAGAAGAAATCTGGTGTCAGAAGTCCTGCCATCTGCCAGTCAGTGCCCCCCACCCCAAACACTTCCTGGGCTAACCTCTGGACACAGAGCACAAGGCTGCAAGGGCTGACCAGCTACCTGCTGCCATGCTTGGCTGAATCCTCACCCATGTCGGCCTCTCACCTGGTCAGAACCTCATAGCACTGCTTGCAAACTTTTTGTTGGGTGTTTCCAGCCCGGGGCACTGCTGCACTGAAGCTAAGGCAGCCGGAACAGAAGGCCCGGCCACAATTCTTACAGCCGTTCTACAAGAAACATGAAGCAGGGTTATCCACCTCTCACCTGTCCCTGCAGGTTCCTCCCTGGGACTCTCTGAGCACACACAGAGAGAAGACACTGAAGTTGGACCAGCTGCTGGGAGGAGGATGAGGAGTGAGGCCTCTAAGGCCTGGGGAGAAACAAGGGTGGAGGGTAAAGCAATTCCCCAATCTCCAGTCTTTTATTCAAATCAAGTAAAGCTTCATGCAAAATTCATGCTTTCTACCCTGTCTGCAATTCCCTGACACTGGGGTGTAGAAGAGAAATAGGCAAAGCCCCTCCAGGTCCACTGATTCTGCAACAAAGGAGCATCAGAGAGAGTGCAGAGCCCATGCCTTCTCTGCTCTAGCAGAGATGGAGGGAGGCTTGGCTCAGGATGAGATAACAATAGGCTCCATTTATTAAGCACTTATTGTGTGCCAGGCACTAAGCTCAGTACTTAACATTCATCACCTGATTTAATCCTCATGATTTCTACACATGATCTTACTTAATCCTGATGACCACCATTATTATTCCTATTTTAGATGGGGTCAGAGAGATTACATGACTTGCCCAAACAAGGGTCTCCCCGTGAATATGACATCAGAGCTCAAATTTGAACCCTGACCACCCTGACTCCCAAACCCAGGTTTCTAAGTGCTACACGGATCTGCCTCCATACCTGCTCTCCCTCCATTCATCCTATCTGGTGCCTATCTCCTGGTCACAGCTGAGGCAGAGGAAGCCTGCAGTTTACAGGGGAACTTGATGGGTCTGTGCTGAAGGCATGAGAGCCTTTGCCATGGTGTCCTGTGGGCAGGAGGAAGGGCAGTAATCTAACTCAAGAAATCGGGAAAGGGCAGGTTGCGTGATGGTGACGGGTTTCAGAGCAGAAAGAGTGATGGAGACTGGTCACAGGATACTAAGACCCGGCTGCGGAGACTCAGGGTGGAGGGAAGGTAACAGCCGGATCCTACACTTGGTAGACAGAAAAGTCTAGCTTTCCATAAATGCCAGGAGCGCGCTTTACAGTTTATAGGGAACCTTCACCTCCAGCACTTCACTAGAACTACACACCAACCCCGCAAGTGAGGGAGTGCTTGCCCCATTTTATAGAAATGGAAACCGAGGTTCAGTGACTTTGTCAGAATCACACAGCTGGAAAGGGACCGTAAAACCAAGTCGGCAAGTCCCATGTTCTTCCTTCCCTCCACTCCGCGCCTCCCTAGCCCTCTAGCCCGCGGGGAGAGAAGACTCGCCTCCTTCTTGAAGAGGCTGAACTTGACAGCGCAGCCGTAGCACCTACTCTCCATCCTGGTTCCCGATGTGGCGAGGCAGGGTCGACAGAGCTGAAATCACGCCCGCCAGGTCCAGAACCCCTTGTACCTTCACCCACCTCCGCCGCTGTCCCCCACGCCCCCGCACGCTGGCCAGCTGCAGCCTCCCGCTGGGCAATCGCGACCTGCCACCCCAGTCTGAGACCGATAGCCGCGGGCGCGGGGCCTGCTGGGAGTCGTAGTTCATTCACTACGCCTCGCTTCCCTCAGAGGCAGTCAAGCTTGACCCAGAACACGACATTTCCCAGGGGGCTAAGCGCCATTCAGCCAGCTGTGGCCGACCGTCCCCGGGAATCCCCGCGCAAGCTTAGGCTGTTGGGAGTTGTAGTACGAATCCAGTCAGGGTTGGAACCATGGCGGTGACCCAGGAGCTCTTACAGATGGACCTGTACGCGCTACTAGGTATTGAGGAGAAGGCAGCGGACAAAGAGGTAAGAACCGCGGCGAGGAGAGCCGATCCGAGAGTTCCGGTGGCCCTTCCTGTCTGGGCGCCTAGCCCGCAGCTGGCATCCGCTTTCCAGGTTCGGCTGGGCCCTGGGCAGAGAGCGACAAGCGGCCTGATTGGCCTCAGAAGGTGGGCTCCCAGACCGTTCCATGCTCTGAGGACCTCAGGAGGAAAAGGGGGATCACAGGAGGGAGGCTCCTCGTGCGGGGTACTCTACTCGCCTTGTGGCCGCCGGGTGAGCCTGGGAGGGAACCCAGCCTCCTCCCTGCGCCTGCGCAGGTCAGCCTCTAATTCCATTTCTGTCTTGACTGTGGCTGGAAGTATTTCATCCAGTCTCTCCTGAAGGTTGGTTTAATCCACTTAGAGCCTAAGGCAAAAGAAAGGCCAGGTCTCAAGGCTCCTCCACTCTCTTTTCACCCTCTCCTTGACATTGGGACCTATGACTCTGCAGTCTCTGTTTTCTTTTCCACTCCAGCCCACTGACTTTTTTTAAAGTAGCAGATGCTCAGGTGTTGCCTTCTCAACATGTGCTAGAGGGCCAAAAGCAGGAGGATCAGAAGGATAAGGCAGATGGCCTGAAATGCCACAGGAAGGTATTGATAAAAGTGCCAGGGAGTAGGACACTGACCAAGCTGTAATAAAGATTTCTGTTACTGTTACCTTCCCCTGGACGATGGTTGGTAGTTGTAGCAGTGTAGGCAGGGGAGGCAGCTATTTCATCAGATGAAAATTAATGCCTACCAATGCCCCTGTACTTCCATGCTGCCCTCCTCATGGACTGAGTGAGCTTGTAAGAAAAGGACGCTCTGGGACAGAAAAGCAGGGAGACTCATAGGGCCCTTGAGGAGAGATGCTGTAAGCCTGTGCAGAACTGTCCCTGCAGCTGCAGCTAAAATCAGAAGAGGGCCATGGGGATGTGGACAGAGCACCAAAAACATCTGCTACGCCTGTTTCATAAGTCTTAAAATTTCAGCATTAATAATGCCTAAAATGCTTACTGTGTGCTGGACACTATTCTAAGTGCTCTATATTTGTAAATTGTTTAACTTGTACTTCTTTAATAGTGAGAAATTACTTTGGACATTTCACACCAGATCTAGCCAGTGTGCTGGAACCCTGGAGCTGAGAACTGCTGAGAAAGGCAGTTGGGAGCCATTGATGTATATATTACTCAGAGAAGTGACATAATCAGATTTTAAAGAAAACATTCAACATCAGTGTGCAGAATGGACATGAGTAGGGGGTAGGTGGAGGAGCTGCCACTAGGGGGTCAGGTGGGGCTCTTGTCTAGGCAAGAGACCAAGGTCTAAGCAGGCCAGTGTGGTTGGGATCCAATTTTCACTCAAATGAGATAAGGGATATGTGAGAAGTCCCTCTATAAGGGTAACCGATGCTACTTCTCCTGCCTTTAGTAGGGGAGGCACAACTGTAATACAAGGGAGAACATAGTAAGTTCCTCAGGGGAATACAGACCAAGTGCTGTGGATATTCAGAGTAGGCTGAGGTTGCTTCTAGTTTGGGAGAAGCGGTGAGGGAAACAGAGAAGGCATTTGAAGCCTTGAAGAACAGGCAGAGTTTAGATGTGTGGAGATACAGAGGAAGGGTATTCCAAGAAAGGGGGAAATGTGTGTAATCCAGTTTGTCTGAAGCATAGGCCAAGAAGAAAGGATAAAAAAAGATAAACCTTTAAAAGTATGTTGGGACCTTTGGATTATCTGGCTAACTTCATGGTAATAGATACTTTTTGGTAGAGGACAAGGGAAACCTTGGCCCTGGTGTCCCCTCTCCTTGGTTCACTGCTTGTCATATTCTCTAGGAGGACCTGGAGGACTATCAGGTTTTAAAGTGTATTCAAGGAAGGCCTCCTAAACTTTGGTTGTCTGGTCATATAGTCTATGAGTCCCCAATTCAGGGTCCACAGAAAGGCACCAAGAACTAAATAAATATGTGTAATGTTTTTTATGTATTTATTTTTGAGGAGAGACGGTAATTCTAACCCTTTTTCTTTTACTTTTTTTTTTTTTAAGATTTTATTGGGGAATTTGGGGAGGGGAACAACACTGGGGAATCAGGAAGGGGAACAGACAAGTTGCTGTCATTTTTGTTCTTCAGTCTAGTTGTGGAGGACATCGCTTCACTGGCCCATGTTGGTATTATCA